TAAGAACTGAAGGTAGTAGCTATAAAACCTTCAATATGTGAAACTACTACAAGAACTATGTTAAAAAAATAGATAAATATGAAAGAGAAAGCAAATTAAGATCTCATATTTAAAATAAATTTAAATATCAAATTAATTTTTATATTAAAGACAACTGTAGTATTATAAATTGTTGTGAGGGCATGCAAAAACATAAGAAAAAGGTGGAATACGGATTCAAAATCTGTGCTTTAAGATGAATGACGTTTGAAACTAAAAGTCAATTTAGCAAAATATCTCCATTTAGGGAGTCACACGTGTTGTAATTTTGCCATAACTTATAAATATCAAATATCATAATTTGATACTATCTCGGATGGATTCTTAATATAATAACTAGTTTAATTTTTAATTTGATTTTAATTATAAGACCTATTTCATTTTATTTCTTATATTTATTTTTTCAAAATAGTTCCTATAATAGTTGTATGTATTAAATGTCTCATCAAATGATAATTTTAGTCGATACGCATTATAAGTAAGAATATTTTAGAAAAAAATAAAATATATTTATTATAAATAATTAACTTAATTAATTTTTTTTAATTTTCTTAAATTATTCAGTTAGATCCTATAATGAGTGTAAAACAAGTCAGGTAATCGCGAGAATTTGAACTACATTGTGTACGTAATGGGGTTAATTAAACGCCTGAGATGCTTCTTGAAGTGTTTGTCTACTTTAAATACTACGTTTCCTTCTAAATATAATAATTAAATAAAAGATTCATTTTAGTCTTAAACAAGAGACTTTAATCTTCTTCACTTCCAGAATTTATAATTTTTATTCAAGATATTTTTATTGATTGTGTATATTAAGGAGCATTAACTATTAACTATTCGAATAAAATCATAGGATTGAAAGCAGACTGCTAAATTTTCCTTAGGAGTTAGGACATTGCATTCTGAATAATATAATAAAAAATCAAGGGGTAGTCAGGATACCAAAACATATTTATTATAAATAATTAATTTAACTAATTTTTTAATATCTGTATATGAGTTATCTATTTTTAATATTAAGGATCGAAAATAATACATGCTTGTTATTGATGCAACTAATTACAAGAAAAATTTGTTTTTTTTTTTTGCAGAAGTTATATCCTTTGGTTGATTGATTGTATGATTAAAAAAATTATATGGGTGTGGTGATGACCTACTGCCTAGGATAAATACGAAGAAGCGCGGGTCGAATACTTGGAGTGGTATTAAACAGGTATGGAATAAAGTCAAGGAGGGTATACACGTCATAAATGACCATCACGGTGTGGAAAGAGCTCGATGGAAATGGGAAAAAAGTGGCGAGTTCTCCATTCGCTCCGCATATCGAAGCCTCAATGCCAATGATAACATTCCTGCTGGTAACTGGAAGGATTTGTGGAAACTCAACATCCCACAACGGTGCAAAACATTTGCCTGGCTGATGCTGCATGAACAGCTCCTCACGAATGAAGTAAAACACAAACGAGGTCTTCATGATAATGGAGCTTGTATCCGATGCAAGAACCACTTGAGAGATGCGCTCCACGCCCTCAGAGATTGCCCAAGGATTAGAACATTGTAGGAATCAGTGATTGAACAGAAATTTCAGCAACGCTTCTTCACTTCATCCATGCAAGACTAGGTCCAACTCAACTTGAAGTGCAACTTGAACGGAGGTAAGGGTTACTGGAAAGGTTTGTTCATTATTATCTGCTGGTTGATCTGGCGAAACCGAAATGAACTCCTGCACGCAAATAGCACAGCCGAAACAGATAAAATCTTAAACCATGCATGTGTGATCTTAGACTGTATCAACAAGACTTCTCACAAGCCTAACAACGTCAACTTGGACAAGAACCAGTGACCTCTTACCGCAGCCTCTGCTTCGGGCACGGAAAGTAGTACTGTCATAGAAGTGGATGGCGCTTTCTCCTACGCGAGCAACGCTGCAGCTTGCGGAGGAGTTCTAATGGACTATAATAGAAACATCTATGAAGGATTCATGTCTCGCTTACAAGCAGGCGACAATCTCACCGCGGAACTCTGGGGCTGCCTCCTTGGTATGAAACAGGCATGGGACTGCGGCTTCAGAGACGTGATACTCAAGACAGACTAGTATGATGTTTTCTAACTGCTGAACAACGCTACGCCGGAGCTGCATGAGGACTGGTCTCTCATTGAGGAGATAAAAGGGATGATCGCACGAAGTTGGAGGTGATTCAAGTTATCAAAGAAACCTCTACCGTTATGTGCTTTGCCAATCCGGTCATGAAGGTGTCACTGGTTCTTTTTATTTCTCGATGATCCCCTTTTGTATACATGGGTTTTCTTTTATAGCTGGAAAATGATAATTGGCAATAAAATAAATAAACTAAATAAATAAAAGCTTCAGTTGCGAGACTTGCGGCTGACTCTAAGAAATATCCACCAGAATCCTTATGACTCGTTCCCCACCAACGTTCAGCAACCTCCTGTTCTTTCAAATAGTATACCCACGTTGCCTAGTTACTGTTCACGTGCATGCGAGTTACTGTTCACGTGACTTGGTGTAGTAAAGATCCTCCTGGATAAGGAGGTTTGACTGCCAGCTTATTGCTAGAGATGATAACCTCATGACAGACACTCTAGCAAAGAGAGCCCTGAATGATAACCTAGGTTTCCTTATCCTGGGCCCCAACAGTGTTCGCAACTTCCTGGACCTCGAAGGAATAGGATAGTTCTGTTGCTTTTCTTTGTTGCTTTTGATTTCCCTCGTATAAAAAAAAAATTAAGTGGTTACCAAGCTCGCATAATTTGATGAATCAACTCATTGGTAACATCCTCACAAACGTAAGCACATGTATTTTTATGGATAATATAGACTAGACTATTGTCCGGTAGACTAAGATTTAAATGTCAACTCAACATATATTATCTCGAATCCTTAATATAAGGGTTAGTTTTACATTCAATTTAATCTTAAATATAAAAATTCAATTCATTTTGTCTCTCATATTTATCTTTTTTCCCCAAAAAAGTCACTGTAGTCACTGTAGCTACGCATGTTAAAAGTTTCATTAAATAATAGTTTTAGTTAGTAAATATCATTAGTAAGAGTATTCTAAAAAAAACAATATATATTTATTATAAATAACTAATTTAATTAATTTTTTTAATATTCTCAAACTAGTTATGTGACAGGTAGTATTATTTAAAAGTCTAATCCTGCAATGTTATTTTAGTCCAGATAATAATTACATGGTTAATATAAAGGCCAGGTTTGGGCCCAAAAAAAGGGGGCCGGATTAAAACTCTTGTGAACTACTTTTGATTAAAAAAACCACTTACAAAGTATTTCCAAAAAAAATGTAAAGCCAGACAAAAAAATTGTCATGTCTAAATCGCAATGACAAGAAATAACCACAAATAATTATAGCGAGACTTTTAAATTTATAAATCATTGTCAAGATTAGCTTATCTAACTCAATTAACCGCCCTGGCTTTTGAAAGATTTTCTTACTCTTGCATATTTAGAACTTAGAAAATAAAGTAAATATCTTAAAGTAGCGATATACTTATCATTAAAATTAGGATTAATACAATTTTTTAGTCATCAGGTTTGCTCATATTTTAGTTTTCGTCCATCAAGTTTCATATCATAAGTTTTAATTTCTCAATTTTTTTAATTTAAAATATTAATCCTTATAATTTGATAAAAAAATATAAATAATTTTATCTTTTACAGAATTAAAACTTATAATTTAAAATTTGATAGATTAAAATTATATAGACACTTAAAATTAAAATGTTTTGTTTCCAAAAGACGTCATCGTCGCAAATAAAAGTGCCAATCTGATTATGATATATCAGAATTCAAAAGCAGCAAAAGGATTGTGAGATGGTGTCCCTAGATAGCAGCACAGTGGGTTCCACTCTCTCAGCAAAGCCTCCCCATTTGATCACTGAAATTCCAGAACCTTCTGACAACTCATTTCCATAATCGGAATCACCAAGTCCCCTTCAAGCAAGGAAGCCTGTCAAAAATGGCAATGACATTGTTTTACATATTTTGTATGATATTAATACAATTTAAATATGATAATAAAAATAATTAAACACTATATAATAAGGTCAACTTCCCTAAACAATGCCAATATTTTAGTGAAAATTGCTGAAAATCTTCCATTACAAAATTTCTTGGAAAAAACACCTAAAGACTTGTACTTTTTAGTGTGTACAATTCATTTTAAACCGATGTAATTTTTATTTAATTATATGCAACATATATTTTATTATATTCAAATTTTTTCTATTTGACACGTAATTAATAATAAGTTGCACATAACTAAAAAGATTACACATGTTGAGGTGCTTAAAACAGATTGCATTCGAATCCTTAAACAAATTTAGATATTAGATGATAAATTTTAGAACAAAATTTTTATAGCAAGTTACTTTGGATTTCATTGCAAATTAATTGCCACACATTAAAAGATTAAGGAAGTGTTTGGATAAAAATCAAATCATAATTTTAAAAGTACTTTTACAGTATATAAAGTAAATATGAAGAGGAGTTTATCTTGTTTTATAAAGAAATGCTTTTTAAAAAGTATTTTTATACAATTCCAAACACCCTCTAAATAAGTAAACCACTGGATTTAAAAAAAAAAAAGTGGAAAAAAAAAAAAAAGTGGGAGCGTGGGTGTGGCCGTGTGGGACAATACACTTTCCCAAAGGAGAAAAAACATTGGAGTGAGAAAAATATCTGATTGTCCTATTGAAGTTGTATTGATTTTGTTGCCTTTTATAACCTTCCCCATTAAATAAAAATAAAATTGAGAACAAATAAATAAATGTTCTACATCACCTCTTTTTATTTATATATTGCACAAAACCCCATCCCCCACCTCCTCCTCTTTCACTCTCATCACCAAACCCTGGTAAAACTATCCTTCAATTCTCCATACTCCATTCACTAAGCTCAGTCTCTCTCTCTCTCTCTCTTCCCTCTCCCTCTCTCTCTCTCTGATATCTTCTTGTTTCTTACATTTATCACTCGGACCTTTTTCTTCTTTTTTTTCAGTTACAACTCAGACTTTTTATCAGTAATCTAATGTGAGTACTTTAAAATCATCTCATTCATGAATTGTAGGTTGGTGAACCGCCATAGCTCTTGACTTGTCTGCTCTTAGCTTCAATTAAGATCAAATCTGAGCCGAACCCATTTGTTGTTACTCAAAAAGAACCCGACCCAGATCTGAGTTACTGTGATTACGATGAATCAGGTGAAGGAGGAGATTATTATGGAGGCGACCACCACCATGGCTGCTCCACTGCCAATGGAGGGGCTTCACGAAGCTGGTCCACCGCCGTTTCTGACAAAAACATACGACATCGTCGACGATGTTTCCACCAACCACATAATTTCGTGGAGCCGAGGTAACAATAGTTTCGTTGTCTGGGATCCACAGTCTTTCTCCATGAGCCTCCTTCCCAGATTCTTCAAACACAACAATTTCTCCAGCTTCGTCAGACAGCTTAACACCTATGTGAGTTTTGCTTCTTCTTCTTCTTCATCTCCCCCCCCCTTCTGGGATTATTTCTTTTCTTAGATGCGATAATCAAATTGAAACCCTCCTGATCTCTTGTAATTTTCCTTGCACCTTCTGATCTGTTTTAATGGGTTTTGTTTGATTTTCTTTCTTCTGTAATATGTTTTTGATCTTTGGATCTCTTTTAGATACAATCAAAGTTTGTGAAACTGCAAAAAAAACCTTATCTTCAGTCACGTTCTTGAAGAAGCAGCTGGATGCATTGTATTTGTATTATTCCTTTTTATCTTTTTTTTTGCTGCCTGAAACTACTATTATTCTTTTATTATCTCTTATCTTCTACTTTTTTAAAATTAGGGATAGATATCGGTCCCATTATTAATATTTGTTTATTCAACCTTTTCTCCATACTGTTTACTTATTGCGTGTTTAATGTGTTTGAACAGAAGAAAAAGTGCACAATTTACAATTTAAAATGCTTTAATGCACTCTCATTACAATCATTTCTGCGATCTTAAGTCTTGATTAGATGTGTTTGTAAATTTCCCCAGGACGATTTTACTGGATGCGTCTGCAGGAATAGTGAGATTTTATGTGAATACTGAATACATCTTTGGTTCTAATACCCTTCATATATGACCTTTACACCTAAAGGTCTCAAATTGATCATATCAATGAAATTTAAAGAGAAGGAATAATTTTTTAACATTTTCTCTGATACAGATTTAACTTTTATTTTTCTACTACTCACCCATTTTTATTGCTTCTCTATGTTTAAAAGTCTTACATATCAAATTCAAATCAATTCAAATACCTAAGAAATTTCATCTTCGTTCATTTTGTTCAATCCAAATGCATCTCCTCACATGGGGTTCCATTAGGGAGTCCATGGTTCCCTCTTATATCATTGCCACTTAGATTCAGATGTACTTTCATCCGTGTAACTTGTACTTATGTATGTATGAGAGAATTCAGATACTCTCTACCGACGATCTGATCCATTAGTTTTAATTCAAATTCAACTATGAAATCATATATCACAGATAGGAATTGACTTCATGACTTTTTGAAATTATATAATAACAACGACAATAAGAATCTTTATCTTACTAAGTGAGGGTCACTTATATGATGATACGATGTTATTATGCTTTATTAACAATTAAAATGTATCTGAATCCATATATCGTATATATCGTTTACTCTATACGAGTACATCAAACACACATTGCTTAATTTATTTATTAGGATTTTATGGACTTGACACGGAAGAAGAGATTTCATACCTTGATATCTTGTTATAGGGATTCAGAAAGGTTGATCCAGATAGATGGGAATTTGCCAATGAAGGGTTTTTGAGAGGACAAAAGCATCTTCTGAAGAACATAAGGAGAAAGAAAACACCTCAACAACAACAACAGCAACATCATAATCATCATCATCAAGCTCTAGATCCATGCGTGGAAGTAGGGAGGTTCGGGCTCGACGGAGAGATCAACCGGCTCCGGCGAGACAAGCAGGTTCTCATGCTGGAACTGGTAAAACTCAGACAACAACAACAAAATGCTAGAACCCGCCTTCAACAAATGGAATGTAGGCTCAAGAAAACCGAACAGAAGCAGCAGCAAATGATGAATTTCTTAGCTAGAGCTATGCAAAACCCTAACTTTGTTCAGCAGTTAGTTCAGAAGAAAGAATGGAAGAAGGAACTTGAAGAAGCAATTTCACACAAAAGAAGAAGAACTATCGATCAAGGACCTAGTAATCGTGGTAATGTTGAGTTCATGGGCCAATTAGAATGCCCAGATTTCGTTGAACTTGAAGATAATATTATTGCTGCTGATGATCATGCTGCTCAGGATTTGGATTTGATTGGAAAGTTAGAGGAAGAACATCATAATGAGGTTGTCCAAGTTGGAAGTGAAAATATTAATAATAGAGAGAAAGAGATTGATGATCAAGTGTTTTGGCAAGACTTGTTGGACGAGGATATTGAAGAAGTTGTACGAGGCTTCGAGGAAGACGAAGAAGATGTTGATGTGTTGGCCGAACAACTTGGTTATTTAGCCTCTAATAATCGTCCTCCTCCGTAAATAATTGATTAATATTCTCATGATTTAATTTCTTCTTCCATATCAATCCATGGGCCAACTCTTCTTAATTACTGATGTGACTATTGACTTCTCCAGGCTTCTCTGTGTTTTGAAGATGCTATACAATCCCTTTTTTTTCAAAGCGATTTTTTCCCTTCTTGGGATGAGTTTTTTTTTTTTTTAAAAGTTTAAGCACAGTTTATTGAGAGACTAATAATAGATTTTAGTTTTAATTTTGATTACTGGATTCAACTTTGGTGCAGATCTCTGAGGAGGATTGTGCGTTTGGTACATTTCTCATCTCTCAACTCTTCAAATTTGATTTGATTGGAATGATTCAGGTTTTATTTTATGTTGAATTTAAATCAATATTTTTTTTTTGATAAATTATTGACTATTGAAAAATATTAGTATTTCATTATTTTGCATTTTTATTTTAAAATAATCATATTGAAAGTTATGTCATAAGGATATTTAAATTTTCAATTGAACCACTATTAAGATTTGTTCTCAGGGTTTCTTATGCTTCCTTTTCTTTTCCTAATTAGTTAATTTCATGATTTTAGATGGACGAAAATTAATAGTTCGTGTCTATTACTAAATTTTTTGAGTCAGAGATAGGATTATGAAAGATTATCTAATTAAGTATACAGTTATCGCACTTTAATTAAAAGTTTTGACACTAAAAGTATAACAAATTAAAATGAACTTAGTTTACTGTCTTCCATACGTTACTGGATAATACTTTCTCCCAGTAGTACTTGCTGCACATTTAATTTCAGTTTGCATAATGACATGCAAAACTCTTTTTAGATGGCTAGTTTCCTCTACAGCAAAATTTATTTTTTAAATTTCTAGCTGAATTATAATTTGAATTTTTAGAAGTTAATAAGTGCTTGTATCAAAATCTTTAGAAATGGGCTAATTAAGTTAGCAGTCCCTTTGACACAATAAACCTAATTGCATGGTTAATTGACTCCTTTAAACCTTAATATAGGACTATACTCTTTTGAACCTTATGGGGGTGTTTCAAAAACACAAAGTTTTTAAGAAAGACTTTCATATAAATCGAGATAAAATTTACTTCACATACTTATTTTATATACTATAAAATCATTTTTAAAACTATTGTCAGATTACCACTCAAACATCCCTTGCTATCGAACTATATTCATTCCTTTGACTTTCAGTAATAACGGGTATTTGTTTCAGCTTCTTCTGATAAACACTTTCAGGCAAATTAATACAAAATTCTTTTCATATACTCCCTTGCTTTGATCCTTATTATGAGTTTCAACTAAGTGATTTGTGTATAATGAACGATCAGCTAAAATTAGTTAAAAAAACAAAAACAAATCAGAAATATACTTTTATTTTAAATATATCCTTATGACAGATGAGAAAAATGATAAAAAAAATATATGAAGAAAAGTGATAAGAGAGAGTGGCAAATATGAGAGAATAAATAATCAAGGATAAAATTAGAAAAATGTATTAAAAGTTGAACTAAACTCAAATTAAAACTCATAAAATAGACTCTCTCTTTTTTTTCAAATTTAAAGTTATAAATACATTATATACCATAAAATCACGATAAAAGAGTTAGCCTCTAATTATCTTTCAAAAACATCTCTATGACAATTCGCCCTATTCTTGTCTATCATAAATTGTTGATGTATTAATTTAAAAACTAACGTCATTTCTTTTCTTAATTATTTCAAATTAGGTAAATAAATTCTATATTTAGGATGAACTAAAGGAATTTAAAAAATAAATTTTGTACGCAATTTTACTGGATCTATACATTCTCGAGTAAGATCCCACTAATCAATCGCTTTGTCCCTAATTGGCTGATTAATTCATTCTGTCTTTTAGTCTTGCAGGCACATCTGAGAAGCTGCTAGCATCTCATCATCAACGGACAGACTTTTACACCCATATCATTATCGTATCACATTCCTCCTATATTATATTACTATATATAATATGATATGATATATCATAGGTGGTGAAAATATTAATTATATTACAGAAAGCCAATTAATTATCCTTGAAATGTGTGATGTGAAAGAAATTAAATCATCTTTTGGCATGCACGATGATTCCCTCTTATCCGTTCTAGCACTTTTCTTCCTCTTTTGATTTAAATAATCAAATAATCCAGGAGTTTCCAGATATGAGACGTTTCGTTGATATTCTAGCCACGTCTGTTAATTTTCAATTAGTTAATCAGTTAAATATCGTAATAAATAAATAAATTATATGTGTTCTCTCGTAACAATCACTGTCGAGTGCTGTCAACTGTGGATGATCATTTACTTCTTTCATTGAAAAAATACTAACAAATAAGAGCTAAATAACTGGTTTAGCCATATATATTAAAAAAATTAATAAAATCAGTTATTTTATAACAAATATGAATTGATTTTTTTAGATTATTTTTTTAGTCGTGTGTATTGAAACTATTATTTAATGAGAAAACCTTAATATGTACAATTAATAAGGATATTTTGTAAAAAATTATAACTTTGAGGAACAAAATGGATTAATATCTTGTATTGCAAACTTTATCCAACTTCTAATTAACTTTTATTTTAAAAATAAAAGGCAGTATTAGATAACAAATTCAATTTATTATAATCGAAGTTTTATAATTAGTACAGGAGTTAGTATGAAAAAATAAAGGAAAAAAAAGCATATCACCCCATTGTCCCAACGTGGCAGAACAAGTATTTTTTATTTTTTATTTTTTGGGTCAGAGTCGTTTGGCTTAACTAATACTTGAGTTTCATTCGTCGAGTGGAAAAGTAGTTTTATCATTCAGAAACTTGTTAAAAACAAATTTTTTGCGGTTTCTAAGATAGGACCGCTCTCCCAATACTTTGTTCAAAATCATGTTTTGATTAACACCGCAAAATTTAAATATTTTCTTATGCATCTATTTATAAGTAATTTTTAATATTTTTCATGAGACCTAATAAAAACTATGTAACTCGTTAATTTTGTCTAAAACTAAGGAGGTTTTTCATTTTGCCCATATAAAATATAACCCTAAAATTTTTTTTTCTGAATTAATGCAGAAGGCAGAGAAAAACAAGAAAACAAAAAGGAATTGCTGAAGCAAAAAATCTACGGGCAGCTTGATGCATATGACTGCATTTAGAAGACCTCTAGTGCAAGAAATTCATAAATTTAAAACAAAATCGAAATTTAAACTCGTTGAGGGTTAAAACAAATAATTTTAGCTCACATTCAAACTTATATAAAGTAATAGAAATCATTAAAATGAAAGCAATATTGAAATATGACGATAGAGTCAGTGCAATTCATGTAGAAGAGGTAAAGAGGCAAATATTTTTTATAATGATTTGAGTAAAAGAAGGTCAAAATGGGATGGATTTGCAAATGCCTTTTTCGTTCTAAACTAATGCAGAAGGTAGAGAAAAACAAAGAAGACAGAAAAAGCTGAAATGTAATGCTCTTGCCTCTTGGTTTGAACGTAATGGGGGACAATGATGTCATATGAATTGAAATTGGATCAAATAATAATAATAATAATTACAAGTTTCTGCAAATTAAAATCGTCTGAGTAAAGTGATAAGATTGCACGTGCCGCCCATGGTCCCTACTCCCTACTGAAAAAGGCTGTAAGAGAGAGAGGGAGAGAGAGACCAAAGCCTTGTAAAAGACAATTTTATTTTAGGTATGATGGGATCTGGATGGTGGACAGTCTCCCAGCTTCTTGTTCTAGAGCGGTCCGTTGCTTCCTCTCCTAAACAAAAATTAATTTTTCCATATACAGTAAAAAGTTCTTGGAACTTGAAAGTGACATTTTTAGTTTATATACTGGGGTTAATTTTTGACTTCCCTAGTCAACCATTTGATTTTATGATAAAATTTGCACATTTTCCAATGATTCTTGTTCGTTTTATCTTTCTTTTTCGTCAGAACAAAAATTTTTTGGTGAAAAAAAGTTTAAATAAATTGAATTTTAAGGATTCATAAAGATTAAAGGCCAGATTATGCTCAGACATAAAAAAACACTTATAAGAATATTTACAAATTTCTCATCAATAAGATATTCATATCAGCAGTAAGATTCAAACTTACGTTTTTATGTTTGGTGAAGAAGTTTTGTTTACTTTTAGCGCAAATTACAAGATGTCCTTGGCTGTTTTCAGTGTTTTCTTTTCCCCTCTAGGGGAAGGCCTTATAGCAATTGAAACTTTGAAGTTTGAACTTTTGGCCCAGAAAAGAATCTACAAAAATCTCATTGGGCCTACTTTGGGTTTTAATTATAAAGATGGACACAAAGAAATGACCCAAACTAGTATATTGGGCAACCTCAGGTAAACTACACATTAACTATGCCTCAGTCATAATGTTAATAATATGTAAATTTTTCGTAAAATGTAACTTTACAAGCGCTCATAGTCATATGAGGATTGTAACATCGTAAGATTTTTAAAAAAAAAATAGATTTTACATTTAAGACTAAGATCAACTCAATAATTTTGTTGTACATTAAGGATTGGAAGAGTAATATATTTTACTTAAAAGCATTGATTTTTTTAGCTAAGAATAATACAAAACTTCCTAACTAATTAACTTGGAGTAAATGTAGAGTTTTACTTCTAATTTTATTTCTGATGCACACCCAATATTCCCATTTTTTTAATGGTACAATTTTATCTATGAGCTTTTTTTGCCCAATTTTACCCATGACCATTTTTTTAAATCTTAGCCATGATTTTAAGATTTTATTTGAAATTAACTTTTTAGGTAATGGTGCCCGGATTCGGTTTTGGGAAGACGCTTGGCTACCGAACCATGATCATCTTCGTTCTTATGCGATCAGAGACATTGTAGAACCAATGCGTGATGAAAAGGTTGCTGATTATGTTACTGCTTCAGGCTCATGGGATTGGGCTTGTTTTCCTCTGTTCCTTCCCCCAGTAGTGCTCACAGCTATAGAGCTTGTCCCACCTTCAGCTATTTGCGGCTCATCTGATAGTCCAAGATGGAAACTCACTAATGATGGAAGCTTTACGTTGAAGTCTGCATATAACAT